CCAACTCAAAAAAAAAAAAAAGAAATTAAAAGTGCTACTCCAGGGAATACATGAATGATAAAAGAAGGAGAAACAGCCTTATTGCTGAGATGGAGAAAGTTTAGTGGTCTGGAGAGAACAAACCAGTCACAATATCCCCTTGAGCCAAAACCTACTTGGGAGGCTGAGACGGGAGGATCAGGACCAGAGCAAGGCCCTAACTCTCTTCAATGCTGTGAAGCCTGAGAGAGATGGGAAAGCTGTAGAAGAAAAGCTTGAAACTAGCAGAGGTTGGTTCACGAGGTTTAAGGAAGGAAGCCTTTTCCTTAACATAAAAGTACAAGCTGAAGCAGCTAGTGCTGATGGAGAAGCTGTAACAAGATATCCAGAAGATCTAGCTAAGATCATTGATGAATGTACCTTCACTAAACAGTAGATTTCCAGTGTAGATGAAACAGCTGTGCATTGGAAGAAGATGCCTAGAGCGAAGAAGTCAATGTCTGGCTTCAAAACTTCAAAGGACAGGTTGACTTGTTAGGGCATGATGCAGATGGTAACTTGAAGTTGAAGCCAATGTGTATTTGCCATTCTGAAATCTTAGTGTCCTTAAGAATTATGGGAAATCTACTCTGTCCGTGCTCTATAAATGGGACAACAAGGCCTGAATGACAGCACATCTCTTTTTAGAATGCTTAACTGAATATTTGATGCCCTCTGTTGAGACCCACTGCTCAGAACAAAAGAGTCTTTTCAACATGTTCCTGTTCTTTGACAATGCACTTGGTCATCCAAGAGCTCTGATGGAGATTTGCAGAGATTAATGTTTTCATGTCTGCTAACACATCTATTCTACAGCCCATGGATCAAGGAATGATTTTGATGTTCATCTTATTATTTAAGAAATACATTTTGAGCCGGGCTCGGTGGCTCAGCCTGTAATCCCGCGCCTTTGGGAGGCTGAGGTGAGTGGATTGCCTGAGCCCGTGGGTTCGAGACCCGCCTGGGCAGCGAGACCTCATCTCTACAATAAATCAAAAAATCAGCCAGGCGTGGTAGCGCATGTCTATAATGGAAGGCTGAGGCGGAAGGATCGCCGGAGCCCAGCAGGCGAGGCTGTGGTGGCCGGGAGTGGCCACTGCACTCCAGTCAGGGCGACTGAGTGAGACTCCAACTCAAAAAAAAAAAAAGAGAAAAAATACATTTTGGCTGGGCATGGTGCCTCATGCCTATAATCTCAGCACTTTGGGAGGTGGAGGCAAGAGGATTTCTTGAGCCCAGGGGTTCGAGACCAGCCTGGACAAATTGGCGAGACCTTGTTTCTACAATAAAATAAAAAAATTAACTGGGCGTGATAGGCATGCAACTGTAGTTCCAACTACTTGGAAGACTGAAGCAGAAGGATCACTTGAGCCCAACACCTCTGGGCTGTGGCCATGATCATGCTACTGCACTCCAACCTGAGTGGCAGAGTGAAACTCTGATTTAAAAAAGAAACGAAAAGAAAAAAAAATACATTTTGCAAGACTATGGCTGATATAGATAGTGATTCTCTGATGGATCTGGATAAAGTATGTTGAAAACTTTCTGGAAAGGATTCACCATTTTAGATGCCATTAGGGACATCTGTGATTCATGGGAGGAGGTCAAAATGTCAACATGAATAGGAGTTTGGAAGAAGTTGATTCCAACCTTTATGGAAGACTTTGAGGAGTTCAAGACTTTGGTTGAAGTAGTCACTGCAGATGCGGTGGAAATGGGAAACCTAGAAGGAGCGCCTCAAGATATGAGTGAATTACTGCAGTCTCATGATAAACTGGGATGGATGAACAACTTCTTATGGATGAGCAAAGAGCGTAGTTTGTTGATACGGAATCTCTTCCTGGTGAAGAAACTTGGAACATTGTAGAAATGACATCAAGGGATTTACAGTATTACATAAAGTTAGTTACTAAAGCATTGGCAGGGTTTAAGAGGATTGACTCTAACTTTGAAGACATTCTCCTGTGGGTAAAATGCTGTCAAACAGTACTGCCTGCTACAGAGAAATATTTTGAGAAAGGAAGAAACAATTAGTGTGGCAGTCTTTATATCTGCCTTCTTTTAAGGCATTTCTACAGCCACACCATTCTTCAGCTGCCATCACCCCTGGTCAGTCAATAGCCATCCACATCGAGGTAAGCCCCTTCACCACAAAAAGAGTACGGCTTGCACTGTGTGCAGTGGCTTGCACCTGTACTCACAGCTACTTGGGAGACTGAGACGGGAGGATCCACTGAGCACAGCAGTTCGACTGCAGTGAGTGATATGATTGTGCCAGTGCTCTCTATCCTGGGCAATAGAGGAAGACCCTGTCTGCAAAGAAAAAAAAAAGATTATGACTTACTGAAGATTCAGATGATCTTTAGCATTTTTTAGCAATCAAATATTTTTAAATTAAGGCATATACATGCTTTTCAGACATCATGCTATTATATACTTAATAGACGACAGAATAGTATAAACATACGTTTCATATACATCAGAAAGTGACAAATTCCTGTGACTTGCTTTATTGCAATATTTGCTTTATTAAGGTGGTCTGAAACTGACCCAGCCGTATCTCTGAGGTCTGCCTGTATTAAGAAGTTTCTAGTACCTGAAGAAAATAATTAAGAGTTTGTGTATAGTCAGCTACAGAACAGTGATCTTATGAATGAGGAGATGTGGAGACAGGGAATTGAATTAAGACTTTTTCCTCATCCCTTGGCTGTGAACTTAAACTACTGGGTACTTTCTAAACTAGAATCATTGATAGAAAATTATATTTGATGCAAGCAACATACTCACCCAGACTCTGATGATATCTTTTTGGTGGCTAGGAATTCTTGGGAGCATATATATATATATATATATACACACACACACACACATATATATATGTGTAAATATATGTGTGTGTGTATATATATATATATATATATTTTTTTTTTTTTTTTGAACTGGGACCAAAAGCTTATGTTTATTTTATTTATTTATTTTTTTCTTAAACAAATTTTTTTATTATAAAGATGTGAGATACATTTCAGGGTTAGGTATATAAACATTGATTATGCAGGTACCCTTGTTGATGAGGTGTGCCCCTCCCTCCCCTAGCAGTTTCTCTCAACTGCCAATCCCACCCCCCTCCCCTGATAGTTTCCCACTACTGCCAATCGCTTTCTTATAGCATTATAGTTGTTCAAGGTCCGTGGGAGCATATATAAATATTTATATATGAAGATCCATGAATAAGATTATGCTGGTGAGGGAAACATGGGAAAGAGGGATCGGTTAAAGACCTTGAATGAGAACAATGAATCTAGATCAGTGTGGAGGATACCTTTGATATGCACGTGAACTTTGTGTTTGCACTTCCATTGACATTTAACTCTTATTTCTGAGTTTAGTTGGAAAAGTAGATTGAGAGATTTTAGTACAAGACTACCTAAAATTATTTTTCTTTCAGTAGTACGGCAAAGGTTTGAAAACGTTTGAAAGCTGAAGGGGAAATGAAACACAGCCATCTAGTGGGTGAAGTTTTAAAAGCTTATATGCACATAGTTTAAGCACCACAAGCTCACGTGAACGTTATTAGGTATTCAAGGCAATCATTCCATGTCACACAAATGAACAAATACATTTGTATTATGAAATACTTTTAAAATTTTTTATGGGAGAGGGAAACATAAATTGCAGTACAGCATTTTTGTAAATACCCTCAGGATTAATTGAACTAGCCTAATGTTCTAGAACGTCATAGACATTTTCCATTGTGATTTGTACTCATCAGAGTTTTTGAATTGTAAAATTTCAGTAGTGCTTTTCAAACACATACATGTTCTGAAACATTGCTGAAAAATATTTAGGCCTCTCTTGCCTTTATAAATTAACATGTTATTATGGCTGAAGCACAGGTTTGGAGCAGCTTTTAGCCATTGGTGATCTATAAAGTTGTTGATTCAAAAATTAATTATTTTCTAGGAACAAGATAGTGCTGTACAAAATATGCACAAGAAAGTAGAACAATTAGAAACAGAACATATGGACTGCTCTGAACTTTTACGACGACAAACAAGTGAACTTGAATTTAGCACTCAACGAGAGGAACGTCTTAGAAAAGAATTCGAGGTACGTTTTCTTATTCTTTGATTTTGTATATATTTTATCCATTTAGTGATTTAAGGTTAGAGAAATTTTTACTCTACCATAATATATAGTAATACTAAAAAATAACCTAATTTTGGAGGGCATTTATTTATATGTTTGATTTCTTTGAAAACTTTTGCATTTGAGTAAAATATTTTATATTTTCCCCCTAATTAAAAAAAATCTGTTCATTTTTGACAGTGGACTCTCATTAAATATTTGAGAAGTTTGAGAGAAATTGTTTACATTATAAGGCTGAGAAAGAACACAGGAAAAGATATGGTTTACATAAATTCTCAATGATAAAAGTAAAATGAAATTCTAATTTTATAGTTTGAATCATGTGTACTAGCTGGTTTCGCAGAATGCTTTTTAGAGGAGACTTTAGATGGGAAATGAGCTTTAATTTAAAAATGAAAAATAGGACCTTAATTAGTGAATGTTGATGAAAATAACTTTAATTTTGAGAGAGATCAAAGTGATTTGTTAATTCATCTTATTTTTAAAATTTCCTTTTGCTTTGTGAGAAATGAAGTATTTAAACAGATGAAGAGTTTTGTCCTAAACATAATTTATAACATTTATTAGGTAAGTAAACATTTATAAAGAGTATTTAATGGTGGAGGTATATTTATTAAACTTACCACTGTCATTTAATATTGTCCTGGAAATTTTAGCCAAAGAAATATAAAAGGAAAGATCAGCAATAAGAATTATAACTTTTAGAAAGAAAAGATATGATTCTTATTACTTTTAGATGATATGCTTATACCCATGAATAGTAAAGAAAATCAGCTTTAAAATTATTGACATTAGTGAAAACATTCAATAAGGAATCTAGGCAGAAAATAATGTATAATAATTATGTTTATATTCTTACTAGCAATAATCAGAGAATATAATACTGAAAGATCTTCTTCACCACAGTGGCAAAAATAGGAATAAAATTAACAAATACACAAAAAATAATGAAATTTAACTGAGAGGCTTAAAAGAATATGATAGGATGGGTGGAGGTGGGACAAGGGAGGGAAAAAAGAACGTGATAAACCATTTTGAGAGGACTTAACACCACAAAGATATACATCCTCCCTAGATTATATCATGGGTTAAAGCATTGATATAAGGAAAATCAGTATGTTGGTACCGAAAGCAAGGGAAAAGGTGGCTGTGGCCAAAAAGTGCAATAACTCTAGGACCAGACTGTTTTAGTCAGGGTTTTCCAGAGAGACAGAACCAACATTTACACACAGATAGGTATAGATATAGATATATGGGAGGGGGTTATGTGAATTGGCTCACACCATTAAGGAGGCTGAGGAGTCCCAGCACAGGCCATCTGCTGTCTGGAGACCCTGAGATGTCACGGCATGGACCAGTCCAAGTCTGAAGGCCTCAGAACCAAGGAAGCTGATGGTGTGATTCTCAGTCCTAGGCAGAAGGCCTGATGTCCAAGGACAGGAGGAGGAGGAGGGGAGAGAGGAGGAGAGGAGGGACGGGGAGAGGGCGAGGGAGAGGGAGAAACACAAACACCCTCGCCAGTGCCTTCAGAAGTCATGGGAGTCGTGTTTTATCACTTCTCTATGTATTTCTTAATCCAGTCAAGTCAATACCTAAAATTAACTGTCGCACAAACTTTCTTTTTTTTTGTTTTTGAGTCGGAGTCTCACGCTGTCGCCCAGACTGGAGTGCAGTGGCCGCTCCCGGCCACCACAGCCTCGACCCGCTGGGCTCCAGCGATCCTTCCGCCTCAGCCTTCCAAGTAGCCGGAATTACAGGCATGCGCGACCACACCCAGCTGATTTTTTGATTTCTTGTAGAGATGAGGTCTCGCCAAATTCCCCAGGCGGGTCTCGAACCGGCGGGCTCAGACAATCCAACTCACCTCAGCCTCATATTCATAATTTAAAAAATTTTACTGAAATATAATTTGCATGCCATACATTCATTCACCCATTTAAAGGATATAGTTCAATGTTTTTTAGTATATTTACAGCATTGTGCAACCATCACCATGATCAATTTTAGAACATTTTCATCACCCCAATAAGAAACCTTATCCCCTTTAGCTATTGCTTTTCTATCCCCCATCCCTCTCAGGCCTAAGCAACCACAAATCTACTTTTTGTCTTTATTTTTTGCCTAGTCTAGACATTTCATATCAATGGAGCTACAATATGTGCTCTTTTTTGACTGACTTCTTTAATTTAGCTTTGTGTTTTCAAGGTTCATCCATGTTGTAGCATGTGTCAGTATCAGTAATTCATTTCTTTTTATGACAATAAAAAATTAATCATTTTATGATATGCTTTGGGTATTCATTCCTCCATCAGTTGATGGACATTTGTGTTGTTTCTACTATTTTTTTTTTTTTGAGTTGGAGTCTCACTCTGCCGCCAAGACTGGAGTGCAGTGGCCGCTCCCGGCCACCGCAGCTTCGACTTGCTGGGCTCCGGCGATCCTTCCGCCTTAGCCTTCCGAGTAGGTGGAATTACAGGTGCGTGCTACCACACCCGGCAAATTTTTTTTTTTGATTTTATTGTAGAGATGAGGTCTCGCCTGCCCAGGCGGGTCTCGAACCTGTGGGCTCAGGCAATCCACTCACCTCAGCCTCCCAAAGGCGCGGGATTACAGGCTGAGCCACCGAGCCTGGCTTCTACTGTTTTGGTTGTTAAGAATAATGCTGCTGTGAACATTCATGTACAGGTCTTTGTGTGGCTATATTTTTAGTTCTTTTGGTTATAAACCTAGGAGCAGAATTGGTGGGTCACATGGTAACTGTATGGTTAACTTTTTGAGGAACTGTCAGACTGTTTTGCACAGTGGCAACACCATTTCACATTTTCACCAGCAATGCATGAGGATTCTTGTTTCTCCAGATCCTTACGAACACTTGTTATTGTCACTCTTTTTTATTAGAACCACACTAGTGGGTATGAAATGGTATCTCATTGGTTTTGATTTGCATTTCTCTAATGACTAATAATGTTGCATATTATTTCATGTGCTTACTGGCCATTTGTAGATATATCTATTTAGATCCTTTGTCCATTTTAATTTTAATTTTATTTATTTATTTACTTTTGAGTTGGAGTCTCACTCTGTTGCCCAGACTGGAGTGCAGTGGCAGGCTCCTGGCCACCGCAGCCTCGACCTGCTGGGCTCTGGCGATCCTTCTGCCTCAGCCTTCCAAGGAGCCGGAACTACCGGTGCATACCACCATGACCAGCTAATTTTTGATGTGTTGTAGAGACAAGGTCTTGCCAAGTTGCCTGAGTGGGTCTCGAACCTGCAGACTCCGGCAATCCACTCACCTTGACCTCCCAAAGTGCTGGAATTACAGGCTGAGCCACCGAGCCCAGCCTCCTTGTCCATTTTTAAAATGGGTTATTTGTGCCAGACTTATGTAAGATGTTAACAATAGGGGATACTGGGTATGGGGTATTTACAGGTTTTTAGCAGTAATGCCAAATACGAACGCAGAAGAGATAAAATTACTTACACACCTACCACACGTGATCTATTTTTTACAAGATGAATAAAAAAAAGAAATTTAGCTGGGCATGGTGGCTTAGCCTGTAATTCTAGCACTTTGGGAGGCCGAGGCGAGAGAATTGCCTGAGCCTGGGAGTTCGAGACCAGCCTGGGCAACTTGGTGAGACCTCATCTCCACAATAAATCACATACCCAAAAATAGCTGGGCATGGTGGCGTGCGTCTGTACTTCCAGCTACTTGAAAGACTGAGGCAGAAGGATAGTCTGAGCCCAACAGATCGAGGCTGTGGTGGCTGTGAGCGTGCCACTGTACTCCAGCCTGGGCGACAAGAGTGAGACTCCAACTCAAAAAAAAAAAAAAAATAAAAAATTATATTCTAAATATCTTAACTTTTTAAAATACTTGTATGGGATGTCTTTTTAGAACATTAAATTCAAGAATGCATCATTTTACTTATTTTATTTTTAAAACAATTTCAGTACATTTAGGAGGCACAAATCGTTTTTGGTTACATGGATAGGAATGCATCCTTTTATTATATAATCATTTTTGATACTATTGGTTTGTAGATGGCTTGGTAAAATGGTTGGAATAGAGTTAATGTTCTGAATTTTAGAATTTAAGCAGACACCTAGAGGTCACTTAAGGGTGCTCTAGAACTTTATGATAATCACTGGAAACATTTTAATTGTGTTATGGTTGTGAAGAAGTACTACGTAATAGTAATTTCTTTTTTGTTGATAGAATTCTTGATAAGCTAGTTTTGACTCAGTTGAGAAAATGTCTAATGCCTAAACTTTAAGATGTATTTACGGATAGCTTGGTATTAATTTTATGCTGTAAGATACTTAATTTCCCCAATATCTGTTTTTATTTTTTGATGTTATAGTGTGAAATTACTTTAGACTAGTTTTATTTTTCTTGATGATTTTCCCTTGCTGCTTTGCAAATACTTTTGATACTCTGCTTCTGGAGAATTTGAAACGTGGAAGGTAGTCTAGATAGTCTCTGTTTTTATTCTATCCGTAATAACTTTATAAGTGTTCAGGTGTAGTCTTCTGATTTGTTTATGATTTCTCATATTTATATTCTTTTTAAGAACTTTTCTTGGTTTGTCGGGTACAGTAACTCATGCCTGCAATCCCAGCACTTTGGGAGGCAGAGGCGAGAGAATTACCTGAGCCCAGGGACTTGAGACCAGCCTGGGCTACTTGGGGGGAACTCATTTCTATAGTAAATAAAAAAATGAGCTGGGTGTGGTGGCACACACTTGTGGTTCCAGATACTTGGAAGATTGAGGCGGAAGGATCGCCTGGGCCCAGCAGACATGTCAAGGCTGCAGTGGCCGTGAGTGTGCCACTGTACTTCAGCCTGGGTGACAGAGTGAGACTCCTACTCAAAAGGAACAAACAACTTTGCTTTATGTTGTATATTATATTATTCATCTTATATATGATGTAAGTGGAAAGTATTTTATATTGGCTGT